AAAACCTGGCTGTTCCGACAGGCCTGGGGCTAATGAGTTTTTGTCCCCCCTCGAATGGTATGGTTGTTGAGTGTTTTAAATTGTGGCATTGTTCTGTTCGTGTTCTTTTTTTCCTATTTGTACACACACACACACACACCGACTTGGTTGTGAGCCGCCCTGAGTCCCTCCGGGGAATAGGGCGGCATAGAAATATAATAAACTCAACTCAACTCAAACCAATTTTTTGTTCTTCCAGGAAGACAACCTCAGCAGAGAATTAAAACTTGCCATGCAGCTCCTAAGAAATTGTTTATTTCGAAATGAATCCTGCAAAGTAAGAGACAAGGGAACTGTCTAACCTCCACAGCTAAAATGTGCGGAAGGCCTGTCTTGCTGGAGATGTAATCGTTTGCAATATGGGGAGCAATCTACTGATGACCTTCCTATGACCTTCATTTTTCAATTTCTGCTAATCCAACTGTTATAGAGATGCCTAGCAGTGGTGATGGAAAGGAATTACTTAGAAACACAAAGAAAAAAATTGACATTCTTATTTTATTTCTCTTCCAAATTGTTATTTATCTTCCAGATTGTGTCATAATTACTGTTTAGGGATAAGCAAAGGGTTAAGTACGTGAGTGATAGTTTGGTCCCTTGTTATATTTTAATATAACTGAACTTTTATTCTGCTTGGGATTGGTATGTTTATTGTGAGGCATTAGTTAAACAATTTTCACGTCACAAGAGGAAATAATATTTTCTCCCAAGTAGTATTTACACCTCTGTTTCTACCTTTCCAAATTGGATCCCTCCAGATTCATAGATTCCAACTTCCAAAATGGTCAGTTCATCAAAGTTGACATACATGTATGTTTGGAGGACGTGGAGGTTGGAAAAGATCCATCTGTGGTCAATGAGCCCTTAGATTTTGCATTGGCTTCACAGTCACACTTACAAAAGCTCTTTCAGTATTGCAACATCTTCTTGTTATTTGACAGGCAGCAGCCCTTGGAACTCACCTCATTTCTATTTTGCATTCGTTGTGGCCTTGGCTTCTAATGGACGATTCCTTGATGCAAGCAGCCTTGCATTTGCTTTGTGTCTATTCTGCAAACTATCCTTCGGGTGAGTGATGTTTCAAGCATTACTGCATATGGTAGGTGACCATTAGAGCTGGAAGGGAGGGTGGGAGGGAGGAAGGAAGGACCTAACTACCGTTGAGTTAGTCTTTATTCCAAACTCACTTTTCCAGGTCCTTGTGTCACGATAGTTGTATCCCCCTCTCCCGATTTATTTTAGGTAGTCATGTTTAGCAACTGACTCATTCTGCAACCATTCGCACTTATAACAAATTATGACAAATTTACGGTTAGGGGCAAATCTTCCAAGCAAAGGAAAGCTGAAGGAAAATTGTAAGCACAGTTGCAGTTTCACTTTGCTTCACAACCAAGTTGCCAGTTCCAATTGTGGTCACTAAACGAGGACTATATATATTTCAACAGAAATGGAAACATTTGTGCCTTCCTACCTCTGTAATCAGTTGATTGTACTTATGCATGTGTGAGAGAAAAAGAGTTACTATTCACTTTTTCTAGCATGTTTTTATTCTTTCCCTCTTAGCAAATATATTCCTTTTCTATGAAGGCTGGCATAAAATACCATAAACAATTATTTACCGATCATATATTAAAATTTCTTAATATTTACATGGCTGCCCTTGTTGAAAGATGCAGGCTCTTGGTGACAGCATCTGAGTGCACTAAACATTTCATTTGAAAGAAGCTGATTTTTCATAGTTAATCAGTGGGCAACCTTAGGTAAAAATGTTTCAGGGGTTATTTTTTTAATAAATCGGTAGTTAAGGTGGGTGGATAGTTCATGAATCTTCTGTATCTACAGAATGTGAATAATCTTAGTTCAATCATTCTCTGTAATTTGCAATAGAAATTACATGTTAGCAGTGTTCCGTGGAGAAACTTTTGCAAGTTCTTTTGTGGGAGTATATCGACATNCCCAAAGGGCTGGTTTTTGTGCAAGGTTCCCTTTAACCAAATATTAATTGGGTCTCACATCTCAAAATGTTAGTTGGGAATAACAGAAATAAATGAGGCAATACTTTAAAGATGTTAGCATCTCCTTTCTTTAAGAAGAAATTAAAAATAAATGGACAATGGACCATATCGATCCAGTTATCACTAAATTTGTTTCAGAATGGGATGGTGACCAAAATGCATAAAAATGTATTCTTGTATCATTCTGCACATAGTTGGAAGTAGGTTTTTGGCAAATAGGTTTGATAAAGGACAATACCAGTGTAGTGTTTCCAGGGAAACCATTATGCTATTAACAGTATTGCCATGGATAAGCCGAAGGACATTTCCAGAAGAGAGAATAACACCCTAGGTCTGGGATGTCAGGTGCTTAGATCTGGCCCATGGGACTGAAACAGGGGACTGGCACACAGTGCCTCTTCCAGCAAAAATGGAGCTCGGGCGGGCTGCACGTGCCCCCCCCCCCCGGGCCCATGTTTGGCTGTGACAGTCTTCTGCAGTCCTCTGCCACTGAAAACAGAGCTCGGGATGGGGGGCATACATACCCCACTCAGGCCTCATTTTTAGCCACAACATCCTCCTGCAGTGCTCTGCCAATAAAAATTAATCCCTTCAGCCCCACCTGGGCCACCACAGGTACCCTAGACACAAGCGATGTCAAGCTGGCCATGCCCATCCCCCAGCCATGCCCCCACACTTCCCAAGGTGAAAAACGACTCTGATGTGGTCCTCAATGAAATCGAGCTTGACACCCCTGCCGTAGGTCCTATTAAAATATCAATATAAACATATTTTCTGACTCCCAGAAAATAGACTGTATGTCAGCATACATTCCAGTTTAGAAGTTCTTGCCTTAGAAAAAAAATTTGTGTGAAAGAAACACAATGATAACACTAGTATCGTTGTCAGACAAGGGATACTTTTTAGTGTTTCTTACTTCTGTAAAATATGTGGAAGGCTTAATAATGAGAATTGTGTTTAATTTTGACAGATTGAGAATAATTATTTGACACTGACATTGGCAAGATGAAGGAAGCAATGACCTTATCTTTCCACACTATTACAATGAAAACAAATTTTTTTTCT